AATTTATTGTTTAACTTCACTTGAAGAGAATGATATTTTGATAATTACTTTCCCCACTAATGTTGGGGAATTAATTATTTTTAAGTCAATAATATATTTGCCTGACAAATGTATTCTAATCATATTTAAATTGTATTTAAAACAGCATGTCAATATACTGTACATGCTAAAAACAAGGGAAAAAAATAATTAGAAGGATAACAAGAAAATCAGGAGAGGTATAGTTCTTGTATAAACTGTGTCGATAAAGCCCCCAAAGCTGTGGGTGTGCTGGCGTTTCAGGATTGGGTTGCAGCAGTGCTTTCCAGTGTCTGGGCTGTGGGCTGCAGTTGTCAGCAGTGCTTTCAGAGCAGGCTCTCTGCCAGGAAAGCGCAGACACCGGAGCTGCCAGCACTGACCTTCAGGGGCCGGTGCTGTGCTGTGCTGTGCTGTGCTGTGCTGTGGGTAACTCTGGTGGCACTCAGCGCTGCCCGGTGCGATTCAGCCACGGTGCCAGCACTGACCGTGCACGGGAGCGGGCACTGCTGTCCTCACGCCAGGCTGGGGACAGAGCCCCGAGAGCTGCCTGTGCCATCAGAGCTCCCTGTGCCATCAGAGCTGCCTGTGCCATCAGAGCTCCTGTGCCATCAGAGCTCCCTGTGCCATCTGCTCGGGGAGCTGAGGTGTGCAGCAGCACCGCAGTGAAAATGCCCTGGGGAAAGTCCTGCCTGCAGTCAGGGTGACGGTGCGTCAAAGCTCAGGGATGGCTTCTCTCTGCCCCTCTCCCCTGTCCTTGTTTGGAGCCTGTGCACCCCTCGCCCGTGTGCACATCCGGAGGGGCTGGTTCTGTCCCTGCTCACACCAGTGCACGTGGGGGATGTGACTCCTGCCGTGTGGGGCAGGGGATGCCAGGCTGGGGGTACGCTGCGGCATCTCTGGCAGCTAAAGGACGCCAGGGGTGCCCAGCTGGGCATGACCATGCCAGTGGTCCTGGTGTAGCGGGTGCCTGTGATGGGCTCAGTCCCGAGCTCTGTGCAGAAGGATGGGCACAGGGATGGGCCCTCACCCCTCTCCTGCTGCTTATTTGCTGTGTCTGTTGGGGCAAATTCCTGGTGAGTGTTCTTTGTAGTGCTCTGTGTCGTGCCTGCCGGGTCACTGTCAGGGGATTACAGCTGTGAGCAGGATTTGGATGACAGCAATCCCAGTACCTGCTCAGCATCCCGCTGTCCTGGCCACTTGCAGCTGGGCACTGTGGGAATCTGCACCGACAAACAGATGAAATCTGCCGTGTGTTTTACTTGATCCGGACATAAAGTCGTGGTCATCTCCTCTTAAATTGTGGGTCACTGCGTGCCTGAGTGAGCACCATCCGGGTTACCAGAGATGGCTCTGAAAGGATTTGGCAGCACTGGAAGCTCAAGGAGCAGCTGGAGCTCTCGCTGGGAAGGGCTTGTGGTTCCCAGAGGTGCTGTGAGCCCCGTGCTGCCCCTCGGGCTGAGGGGAGGCTGCTCTTTTTGCACCCCTGGAAAAACGTAATTCCCTCGGGGTACAGCACTGCCTGGGGGCAGCTGGGAGGAAATGAAGTGTTGCTCAGTCTCAGGCAACAGTTTGTGTGTCCTGGCAGTGTCAATATAAATATTGATGGATTGATACATATGTGGTGTCTATACAGACATGGGGATATACAAACATTTGTAGTAATACCAGGATCAGCCACATATTGTATTGAATATTTATATAAATGTTGAACCACATAAATTTTGAAATACATAAATATAAATAAAATTTATAAAAGTTAGAGAATTTATGTAAGTACTTGTATGTCCATATGTGGTTGATGCATTTGCTCATGCTGTTATGAAATGAGAATTGGGGTCATTAGAGGTATTCTTGCAGCCACCTTACCCTGACTCAGGGTGGCTAGGGCTGGACAGGTGCTGAGTTGACATCAGTGTGGGTGCAAAGAAAAGTGGCACAGGTGTGAATGTCCCCATCTGCATCCGTGTTCCCATCCCCATCCTCATGCCACTGTTGTGGCACTGGCGATCATTCTGTGCTTCCCTGGGGCTGAGGAGGAGGAAGGACCCACAGATAGCAGGAGCAGCAGGGAGGGTTTTGCTGCGGAGCTGGTGCCTTTCCTTCTGTTTCCTGGTGGCAGTCTGCTTGCTCTGTTTGCTTTTTTCTTTCTTTTTTTAATCCTGTTGTATTTCATGGCAGTAGGACAACTCCCGTAGGAGTGCTATTAGCTGTGCAAGCCAAATGATCCATTAGAGGGGTTGAGGCTTTTATGTACAAGAGTCACACACAGAGACGTCATTAAGTGGTCACTTTGGTGTGTTTTCACATGAAAGGATTCACTTTAAAAAGTGTCTGCAGAGCTGCCATCATTATCCCTGTGCCACAGCAGCAGCAGCCCTGGGGGGAGCTGAGGGGGCTCCACAGGGGTGATGCCCTCACCTCCGTGCCCTGAGATGTGTGTTTGCCCTCAGCTGCATTCTGCTTGCTCTGAGAGCTCTTTGGGAGTGTCCAAACCCACAGCCCCTCCATGGCAGGCTGCTGGGCTGTGGGCTGGGGGAGCTGCAGGCTCTGGAGGGCGAGCACTGCCCCAGCTCTGGGTTTGTCCCTGAACCAGCACCTGGTTACGGTGTGGGACCAGCATGGGGAGAGGCCCCTGTGGTCCCACAGCTCGGGCAGGGCAGAGCTGGGTGCGTTGGGCTGGTCTGCAAACAGGCTGTGCATCAGCTTTGTGCAGGCTCAGTGACTGCACCCTGCTCTCACTGCCCTGAGGTGTAAGTCATGGGCTGCAGGCAGCCAGCCGGGCCCTGGGACACATTAAAAAGCTTTCTCTGAATGTGGCAGGCAGCCTCAACATGCCTGCAAACAGTTTATTTTTAAAAAGGAAACCATAGCTTACATGGAGTTAAATGTTTTCCTGTAAAACACATGGGCCAGGAGGAATAGTTTGACCATTTACAGGCAATGGTTGATGGTACGCAGCAGCCATCCATCCTCCTGCTCGGGTCAGGAGGGATTTGTGCTCGATCTGTGCTCCCTGGCAGAGGGAGCTGTTTTTGTGTTTGTTTTGGATCGGGAGCGTGCCCTGTGTTCCAGCTGCACTGCTGAGCCGTGGCTGCTGGTTCTGCAGCTCTGGCAGCCCCAGCCCGGGGGAAGCAGCCCCCACAGAGCCCCCAGTGAGGGAACACCACAGCTCCAGCACCCTCCGAGCATCCCCACGCGTTTCAGTGACTGCAATTCTGCCAGTCATTAATAACTGTTCAGCAGGGATGGGTGGTGTGTGTTCACAAGGGCAGCTGGGATGTGTAGCGCTCACTGGAGTCTCTGTTGGCCACAGGGAGGTTCTTCTGTTTTTAGGAGGTAGGTTGTTCAATGTTAGAGGGTTGTAGGTCTGACCATGGATAGCCACTTCAAATTACAGAATCACAGACTCAGCGAGTAAAGGAGCTTGCAGTCTAAGAAGAGAATCCCAAGAAAGGTTTTCTGTTATTAAATATGCAATTAGGGTGTTTTCTGGAAGGAGATTATTATCAGAAAGCAAAAATTGCAGTTGTATTGCTAACATATACTGTGGGATGTTAAAAACAGGGTGTGCTATGCTTCCCAGAAATGTGGTGTTGTGGGGAAGAGCCTGGTGGTGACCACACAGAGATGGGCACACTCCTGTTCACCTGTGTGCAGGTCTGAAGAACCCAGGTGTACTGACATCATCCAACACACTGGTCAGAGAATCCAAGTCTTCTAGAAATATTGGGATTTTCAGAATGTAGAATTTTGGAAATGATTTTTCCAAGGCATGATTGGTCATTTTCTTTTGTCCGAGTTTGCCACGTTTTCCACAATTCTGAGTGTCCACACAAAGCACTTTGTGCTTTGTGGGCAGTAAAGCCATGGTGTGTAGCTGGGGATGCTTCTGCCTTGTGGGAGGGTGCCTGGGAACGAGTACAAGTTCCTGCTCCCCTGAAAGCAAGGTGAAAAGTCCTCCAGTCCAACTCCTGATCACCAGACCGTGCTGAGCCCTGTGCTGAGTCCATCCGGCCACTGCAGCATCCCCTGCCACCTCTGAATTTACTCACTTACAACAGTCCTTTTGTAGTGATTGGAGGGGAGTTCAGAGAAGGTTCAGAGAGAGGAAGATCTGCCTTGAGCTCTGCCGGCTGCAGTCTGCAGGATCCGGTGGCAGGGTGATTGGGGTGAGTGCTGCCCGTGCTCTGGTGACATCTGTGCCACCGGTTTGCAGCCCGTGCTTCCAGCTCCTGGGCCTCTGTGCACCATTTGTACAGGCCCATGAAATAAAAGTGAAACAGGAAACCTGCTCCCAGACAGACAAATCTGCATTTCTTCTGGGAAATGCGCTAAGATCTGTAAATTAAAAGAGATTGAAGGTTAAAGGTGCCCTGAGCTCCAGAGCTACATGCAAACAAGGAGGATATAAGTGTTTTGATAGTAGCTGGTGATAGCAAAGCATAGGCACAGTTTACCTGGGGCTGTGGTATTTTCTGGTAGTCTTTGAGTAAATAGCTTTCCTTAAAGACCATCTCCTAGGTGGATAGAAATGCTGGTCTCAATAGGGAAGCAGCGAGGCTCCTTGTTTCCTGGGAGCCAGAGGACATTGCATTAGATCACAGGCATGATTTTTTATGGCTTTAAAGCATTTGAGTGTATGAAGTATGCTGAGTGGTTGGGGTGTACAACACGTACTGCCAGGGTTTGAATCTCATCCAGAGAGTTGTGGAACAGTCTTAACCCCAGAATTGAAATGAGGACTTGGAGTTAAATCTGGATTTCAGAATCAGGTTGGTTAACTGCTCCTCTGATTCCAACAACACATGTTGTATTCCATGTTACCCATTCAGCAGTAATTGGCTCTGACTTTTACATTGTGCTCATGTAAGATCTCTTTTTCCAGGTATGTGGTAAGTGTGCCTGCTCGTGTCTGCTTTAGCTCATGGCATAAGGAACAAAGATGCAGCTTCTAATCCTACTGTGTCCATTCTCTTCTTCAGGGCCGATGTTCAAGGGAAAACTGCAAATATCTTCACCCACCACCACACTTAAAAACGCAGCTGGAGATCAATGGCCGCAATAACCTGATCCAGCAGAAGAACATGGCCATGCTGGCCCAGCAGATGCAGCTGGCCAATGCCATGATGCCCGGAGCCCCACTGCAGCCTGTGGTACGTGGGGTCCCTCAGGAGCTGGGGCTGAGTGCAGGCAGCACAGGCTTCCCACCAGGAAATCCCACAAAGGTTGGGAATGGGAGAGGAACCAACTGCACTGAAATGCCCCTCTGTATGTCTTGTGTTGCTTAATTCTGCCTTGCCTGAAGTAGTATTTTTAATTAATTTCAGTAATCTTGAGTTATTTTATCTTTCACAACTTTATTCTCAGAGTTTGGAAAGTGAGTGATCTGCATGAGATTTTGGTTGCCTTTGCAGTATTATGTGCTCTGGGAAACTCCTGGCTTTAACAGATGCCCACTGGGTGTTTTCCCTTCACTCAAGGGAACTTTCCCAGAGAGTTGCTTGCTGGAATTGAGCTTTAGTTCAGAGGGAGGTAGGCTCAGCGTGAGCACGGCTGGTGCATCAGTCAGTGTGAGCCCACCCAGCAGCAGAGAGCTGGGCTGGCTCTGTGCCTGGCCCAGAGTGGCCGTGTGCCGGTGGGGCTGGAGGACAGGGGTGTCCCCGCTTGGACTGTGCAGCACATCACAATGTGCCTGCGAGCTCCAGAGCAATGCCAGCTGGCTCTGACAGCGTGCTGCTGTTCTGCAGTGGTCAAAAGGCTGCAGGATATTCGTATTGCTAGAAAATAAGCTCAGTGGGAAATAAATGGAGTAGTCTTATTTGCCGTACAGCAGGCACACAGGTGTCTGTCTGAGTGTATTGGGCTGAAATCAAACACCAGCATCTCTTAAGTTACGCACTAACAGACTGGTTCTGTTTTGAAGTTCATTATTACATAGCTGATAAACCATCAATGAAAAGTACAGTTAATTAATAGTGTATTTAAGAGTAATATTTAATTTCCTGTAATATTTGCCAGGTTGTTTCTCATTCACATGGATGAAGAATCATAAGCATTGCAGAAATTATACCCATTTACACAACCCTCATTCTGTTTTCTCCAGTAATCCCTGCATGTTTTTGTTCATTATTTCCAATGTCTCTTGCTTCCAGACAATTCAGTCATTTCCTCAGGAATACAGAAACATGTGCTGTTCTCTGCTGTCTGCCTTAAATTGATATGAAACAGAAAGAGTTGTGTTAAATCTGTAGTTGTTTTCCCCTCTAAAAATTAGTTGGGGAAAATAACCTAAAGCCGTGAGTAACTTTATTTAGATAGTGAAAGACAAACACTCCTGGCTGAATTTTATTTGGCAGTTACTCTGCATTTGGGGGCAGGAGTGTTATTTAATCCTTGCCGCAGTGTAGCAGCTCTGTGTTGGGTTTTCACAGCATTATTTGGGCTCTTCACACCCACAAGGGCATTTGACTTTTTTTTGAAAACATGCAAACAAACAAAATAAAATCATATTTGCATGTGCTCTTTCTTCCACTGGTTTAATGTTTTAGCCTAACTAAAGCATCTCCCTGATGCAGTGAGTGTCTGAGTATCTGCATGGCCAGGCTGCTGGATCCTGTAAAACAGGAGGATTGGGCTGTGAAACCCCAGGAGTTCTGAGCCAGCTCTGGCTGCAGCAGGGTCAGAAAAGCTTTGCCTGTGCCTGAAGTCGAGTGTGGTTGATGCTTTGTCAGGGCTCTCAGATACCTTTTCCCCAAGAGTCAGTGTTGTACCTGCTGTGGCCAGGTCTCCCTGTGACCCCACAGAGCATCTGTTGCTCGCTGTGGCATTGCTGGGGGGTGGATGCACTGTGGGTTTGCTCCAGGAGCTGCTGTGAGTGTGCAGGGGCTGGTGGGGACGCCTGTCCTGTGCTCTTGCTCACGTGCAACAACTGCACGGGTGTACTCCGTGACCCACAAACGCAGCAAGTGCTCCTTTCCAGGCAGCAGCAGCAGCTCAGCTCAGCATGGCCGGAGAGCTGTTCTGGTGGCAGCGTGGCACAGCAGATGTTCAGTGTGTCTTTCCTGTCTCCCCTGCAGCCCATGTTCTCCGTTGCACCGAGCTTAGCCACCAACGCCTCAGCCGCCTTCAACCCCTACCTGGGGCCGGTGTCTCCGGGCCTGGTCCCCGCCGAGATCCTGCCCACGGCGCCCATGCTGGTGACGGGGAACCCCGGCGTGCCCGTGCCTGCCGCCGCCGCCGCCGCCGCCCAGAAGCTGATGAGGACAGACAGGCTGGAGGTAGGAGCTGCGTGCTGTAGCTTACTCTCACCAGTGCTGTCATTTACTATGTCTTTAGGTAGGAAATACCTCCCTTGTGAAAGCAAATAATGCAGGTTTCACTTGGGCTGTACTGTTGTATCTGACTGAGTGATTGTACAGTCAGTTCAGGCTGCCAGTTTCCTTCTGAGCCTCCCTTGCAGAAGGAAATGGGAATATTGAGGAATGATCATGGCAGCAGCAAGGGTGCCACGAAGCTGTTAGTGTGTGCCAGAAGGTGCTAACACGGTGGGGGCACAACCCCTGAGCGCTGGGGAGAGGTGCAGAGCTGCAGAGAGCTGCTGGGGTGCAGATAACTCGGCCTCTCTGGCTCTGGGCACACGGTGCCACGCTCCCCTGCTGGCCTCCCGCACCTGGCTTATCACCCTCGCTACAGCCCTGACAAGTGTCGGTGCTCTCGAGCTGCTGCTCTCCCTTGCTCCAAATCTTTCTTATCTGAAAGGCCTGACTGTGTTTTCGGCACCTTATCGGTGCTGCGGCAGCGTGGGCGGGGAGCCAGGGACGTGCTGCCAGCTGCCGTGAGCTTGGGGCACAGCCCGTGGGCACAGCCTGAGAGCTCAGCCTGAAAGCACAGCCTGAGAGTGTGGAGCACAGCCTGAGAGCGTGCAACACAGCCTGAGAGCACAGTCTGAGAGCTCAGCCTGAGAGCACAGCCTGAGAACATAGAGCTCAGCCTGTGGGCACAGCCTTAGAGTGTGGAGCAGAGCCTGAAAGCACAGCCTGAGAGCATGGAGCACAGCCTGAAATCACAGCCTGAGAGCTTGGGGCACAGCCTGAGATCACAGCCTGAGAGTGTGAAGCACAGCCTGAGAGCTCAGCCTGAAAGCACAGCCTGAGAGCACAGCCTGAGAGTGTGGGGCACAGCCTGAGAGCATGGAACACAGCCTGAGAGCTCAGCCTGAGATCACAGCCTGAGAGTGTGGAGCACAGCCTGAGAGCTCAGCCTGAGAGCTCAGCCTGAAAGCACAGCCTGAGAACATAGAGCTCAGCCTGTGGGCACAGCCTTAGAGTGTGGAGCAGAGCCTGAGAGCACAGCCTGAGAGCTCAGCCTTAGAGTGTGGAGCACAGCCTGAGATCACAGCCTGAGAGCATGGAGCACAGCCTGAGATCACAGCCTGAGAGCACAGCCTGAGAGCACAGCCTGAGAGCACAGCCTGAGAGCACAGAGCTCAGCCCGTGGGCACAGCCTGAGAGCAGGTGCTTGGCAGCCCTAGCTGTGTCTGGTGGTTAAAAGGCAGCCATGGGGAGGCTGAGCAGCCAGGCTGCCCTGCTGCCACCCTGGTGTGTGCTGGGCACGGCAGGGTGAGGGCTCCAGGCTGCTGCCTCCTGCACGGCTGCTGCTGCTCTCCCTCCTGGCGCTGGGTCTGCTCACTGAGCTCAGGGAGCACGCTGGGAGGAGCAAGAAGGATCTCTGTTTTATGCAGCCTACTGTATTGTACCTCTGTTCTTTCTGCTGTGCATCTGCACTAACAGGGATGAACTCTCCTTTCAAGGGAAATTAATTCCTTTTCCTTAGCTGCATCCCTGACTGACCAGCTGCTGCGCAGAAGGGGAGAGCTGGGAGCAGTGTGGAGGATCATCTGGCAGCCAGCATTTCCCGCTGCTGCTGTCACTATTCTCAGAGCTCACTTCACCACAGGTCACCCTCCTGTGGGATCACATCATTTCCCTTTTTAGAGATGTTTTCCCCGAGGGAAACGTTCCCCAAAGCACGCTCAGGTTGCAGGGGAGGCAGCTCTGAGCTGGCACACAGGTGCCTGGCTGGAATCACCCAGGGATGTTTTTCCCTTGAAGACTCTGTTTCATGATGGACACCTGCCAGAGGTGGATTAAAACCAAAATGCAATTAGGTAAATTCATAAATAAATCATAATGGATTTGGAAATGAGTATGGAGAGGATGATGCCTATGGTGGGAACCCTTTGGGTTGTGCTGCCAAGATCAGCTGCTGTGTTTGATTGTGCTTCCAGCCCTGCAGTGCCCGTGGGCTGGTCAGGGTGGAACATGAGGGCTCAGAAGCATCCTGGTCATAAGCAGGATGTACCCACTGTCCCCAGGCACCCTGGAAAGCAGGGACACCCCTTTGTGTGCCCCTCCAGGGCAGCCCTGGTGCTGGCTGCAGGCTGTGAGCGCTGTGCACAGGGAGCTGATGTCATCTGGGACCTCGGTGTGCAGGATTGGGCCCTCTGGAAGCTGCATTCTCTTGATATTGCTGTTCAGAGAAGTGGTGCACTGCTGAGCCAAACTCCTCTGCATGAGAGGGAGATGCTAGAGTAGCACTCTCAGGGTCACACTACTGTTTTTCCCTTCTGAAAATTCAGTTTAAACAGTGAAACGTGTAGGTGAGAACATAATTTGCAAATGCTTTCCAATACAGTTGTCATCTGGTCTGGAGTATCCAAATTTAGTATCCAAACACTAATCAAGCATGTAATTTTTATGAACAGCAAAATATTTGAATGTACCTTATAGGAGGCTACAGAAATGCAGAATGGAGTTTGGAGAGTCTGTATGATGTGGCTGTTGCCTCCCAGAGGAGCCAGCAGTGCCTACCTGCTCTTCCCGGGGGCTGCAGCTGTGGCATTGCCATTTGTTATGGCGAGATCAGAGCTTTATAAGGCTCCACTCACTCTCCCTTGGAATGAACTGTCCTGGAGAAAAATAACCACAATGATGTTAGCATCTAATCTGGGAGTATGATTGGTTCTGCTTAGACTCTAAAATATTTATTTTCAAGAGTGATACACACTGGCAGAAATTAAGTCAGCACACGTTCTGGCGTACAGCCCCAGGCTGTTCCCAGGCTGAAAGCTCTCAGTAAGCACACCTGGGGTTCTCAGGGATGCAGGCAGACACCACAGCTGTGTCGGGCAGACTGTGTCTTCTGAATTAATGTGAGTCTTGGTAAAGTGAGCTCGGTGACTGCTTTCATCTGGATTTCATACTGACAGCATGCAGGTGTTGGGTGTCCAGTGCTTTCAGCCACTCCTGTAAGGAATCTGCATCTCAGGATGGAAATGTCATGGCTTCAGGCTTTTCCACAGCTCTCCTCACACTCCTCCCCTGCTGGAAATATCTTGAACAAAGTGTGGTTCTTCAGTGAACTAGAAAAGAAGCAAGAAGACAGGGAAGTGGGAGAAAAAGGAATTGCCTAACGCTTTACCAAAAACAGCTGTTTCTGTTGGAATGCTATTATTTTCTATTAGAAGTGTTCCAAAGCCAGGAATGACCACAGCCAAGCTGTTTCTGCTTGGTTTTGCATGCCATGTTTTGCCAGAAAGAAGCAGCTTAGAAGTTCTTGGAGCTGGTCAGCTCTGGGGGGTCAGGACTGTTGTGCTGGCTGGCATGTGTCACTGCAGGGGACTGGACCAGGGAAGGGATCTGGCTGCAGGATTACCTGGCAGGCCAGGGGTTCTTTTCCTTTCGGTGATGGCTTTCTTCTCCTGGTGTCACAGGTATGTCGAGAGTACCAGCGTGGGAACTGCAACCGGGGAGAGAACGACTGCCGCTTCGCTCACCCCGCCGACAGCGCCATGATCGACACCAACGACAACACGGTCACCGTCTGCATGGATTACATCAAAGGGAGGTGCTCCCGGGAAAAGTGCAAATATTTTCACCCTCCTGCACACCTGCAAGCCAAGATCAAGGCTGCCCAGTACCAGGTTAACCAAGCTGCAGCTGCCCAAGCAGCAGCGACTGCAGCTGCCATGGTGAGTGTGGGAGCACTTCTGGACGTAGGTGTACACTGAGGAGAGGCGATGGTGGATGTGTGTTTGTCCTCGCTGAGGAGGGTGCGTGTGCTTGGGGACCCCGGTCACTACACGGTGCAATGAGCTTCCTCAGCATGTGGTGCCAGATGTGCTGTGAAGTAGTTCCAGACCATTGAGGTGTGTGACTAATTTTGCCTGCTGATGTACGGAGTAGCCGTGCGTACCTCTGTGCGTGCACGCACGTGTGTGTGTGTCTGTACTACTCGTGTCTCTGGTCGGCCGTGTGCCCGTGTGCGGGCGGGTGTGTGTCTGCCCAGCTGCACAGCTAGATAAATCCACCTTTAGTTTCTGTAAGTCCGTGTTTGTAGAGGTGTAGTTTGAAGTGGACCGACCATGTTCCTGCTGTCCCCGTCCCGTGTCCCCGAAGGCTGGCGGTGGCTGTCCCTTGCCCGTGTGGCAGCAGCCAGACCTGGGCCCCGAGGTGTGCTGGCGAGGCGAGGGCAGCACGGGGGGCTGTGGTGGCAGAGGGTCCCGCCTGTGCTGAGCCGTGGGTGTGGGAAGCGGAGCACGGTGGGGGCGGCAGGGCCGGCGGGCGAGGCGGCGCCGCGGGTGCCCAGCTGTGCGTGGTGGCCGTGAGCCCCGCGGCCGCCCGGCGCGGCCCTGGCGGGGCCGGGGCTGCCGTGGGCACCCCCGCCGCCCCGCTGCCCTGCCCGTCGGGCCCTGCATGCCTAGTCTTGTTACCGTTGTACACGGCATCCGGTGATTTGTTTTTATTTGTTTTTTCTCACCTCCCCAAATGCACTGCTGCCCCCATGACGCACCTCTGCTTGCTGTTTATGTTAATGCGCTTGACCCCACTGGCCATTGCCATCATGTGCTCGCTGCCTGCTAATTAAGACTCAGTCGGCTGTCAAATCACTGAAGCGACCCCTCGAGGCAACCTTTGACCTGGTACTATGACCTTTCACCTTTTAGCTTGGCATGTAGCTGTATCGTAGAGTCGAGTTTGGGGTTAATGTGTAGAAATGGAAGATCCCGGTTTCCCTCCCCGCGTCCCCAGCAAAGGGCGTGCGGGCGGCCGGGCCAGGCGGGGTGCCCTCCCGCCGCCCCCGCGCCCTGCCGGCCCTGCCCGTCCCCTCCCCTGCCCTCCTGCCCCCTGTCCCCTCCTGGGTGCCGGCGCAGGGGCGTTGGCATGGCTTGGTGGCGCGGCGGCGGCCGGGGCCGGCATGCGGCGCGCTCTGCATGCCGGGCAGCGCTGGGGCCCGGGGACTGGGGTGTCACCGTGCCCTGCCATCCACTCCAGATGTGACTATTAACATGGCTTCTACGTGTGATCCTCATGGAGCTAGCAGTGCTGCTTCCCCGAGAGCCTGGCTCCTGGCCCAGCCCGAAGCTTTCCCGTGGCGTGGCACTGATGCCGGTGCCCGTGGCGGCTGTCCCGCCGCTCCCTGTGCCGCTCTAGTGGTAGGCAAATAGTGCTCCCTGGAAAGCTGTTCCTTGCCTTTTATTTGGTAGTTCAGTCTGCTATGCCGCTTGCTTGCTCATGGAGAAACATGGTGCTGCCTGGTTATTTTGCCTTCTACTGATTTTTCTTTTTTCCTTTTTCTCTCTCCTTTTGTCCTCCCTTCTTCCCTCCCTCCCATCCTCCCTCCCATCCTCCTCCACACTCCACCCACGCCCTCCCTTTTTTTTTTTTTTTCTTTTTGTTACTGGACTTTATTTTTATACCCATCCACCATTCAGGGAATTCCTCAAGCTGTACTTCCCCCCTTACCAAAGAGGCCTGCGCTTGAAAAAACCAATGGTGCCACCGCAGTCTTTAACACTGGTATCTTCCAATACCAGCAAGCTCTTGCCAACATGCAGTTACAGCAGCATACAGCCTTTCTCCCACCAGGTAAGTGCATCACTGGTGCCTTTCCAGGGGCGGGAGCGGGGGATTTCTGGGGACAGCACACTAGGAGGCAGCTGTTGGTCGCTGGTGCAAACGTGGTGTGTGCTGGAGGGCAGGCACGGGCAGCCCCTCCAGCCAGGGCACAGCAGTGCCCCGTGCCCCTGGGCACAGGAGGGGCTGCCTGTGGCAGCGCTGGCTTCTCTCTGCTCCTCGCAGAAGCTGGGTGGGTGTTTTCCAGTCTAACACAGAATCAGCACCATGCTCTGTCACCCCAAATCAGAATTTGAAATCTCCTCTCTCCTTCCTCTTTCCCTGGATTAACTGCTCTTCCTTCCGCGTCCCTCAGCTGTCGTGCTTGTTTCCCTGTAAGACCCCTTGGCCTTGGCACTGGTGGCTCCGAGTCACACTCACGAAGGGGCTTTTTAATGAGGTTTTAATGGGGTGCAGTGATCCCAGGCAGTCTCACGGGTGGAGAATCACAGACCTGCACACCTCCACCACGATGTCTCAGGGCTGGTCCTGGACTGAGTAATGCCAAGTGCTTGTCCTCAGACAAGAGTCCTGCTGTAATCGCGGAAGAGTTGATGCCTGTGCTATGGACCAAGCAGAAATCCTTTTGGAGGACTAGTGATGGGACATAAAGTTGGAGTCTGTGCTTTGGTTCTGCCGATGGCACTGCGTGAGAAGTGATCTCCAGTGGGTCCTGGGAGCTCCTGCCCTCAGTTACACAGCTGAGGTAGTTTGTGACACCTAAAGTAGCACCATCATTCCAGGAGGTGTGCACAGCTGATAGATCTGTACTCAGAAACGGGAAAGAGTCTGTGAGGACAGCCCTTCATAATGCAGACTGGGAAGGGGAAGAAATACAGCTAATCAGTCTCTGCCCAAAAATTTAAAGTATTTTATCCTAGACATCTTCGACAAGTGTGTTCCCAGGAGATCAGTATAATGCCCTTTACTGCTGTGTCTTGATCCGGCGTGCAACCAACATGTGTACTTTAAATGGCACAAAAATCCGTTTCTTGATCTAGTGCATTTTAAAAATGCAAAAATGAATTGCAGCCACTGAAATATTTCAGTAAATGTTGCAAAGCTTGCTGGAGTCAATAGCAAGATGGGATGGGTAAACTGCAGGTGAGATCCCTAGCCCACACATTAAAATCCATATAAAAATACATGTGCAGTCGCAGACTCATGGAACCACTGAGTGGTTTGGGTTGGGAAGGACCCTAAAGACCACCTCATTGCAAACCCCCTGCCATGGGGGCACACCTTCCAATAGACCAGACTGCTCAGAGCCCCATCCAGATAGACTCAGAATCCTTCCCATGAATGTTAAACAATTCACAGATCTCTCTTGGCACAGCATAACCAGTGGAGTCTGTAAACTGCAATTTTCCAGCTTCCATGAAAATAGCAAGGGGCTGGATGATTTCTGGAAATGCCTTTGTACTCAGGAGCCGGGGTTGTGGTTTGTGTGTGCCAGACCCCATTTGCACCTCATCATAGACTGGGGTCTTTCCCGTGGGCTCCTGACACACCTTGCCTCAGCTCTTCCTCCAGCAGATGGGCACTGAAACCTCCAGGAGCTTGGCAGTGGTTCTTGAGGCTTCATTTGGCCTTTCCTGACCACTGAAGTTTAGTGTATGTTACACAAGAAAAGTAAGGGAGTTTTTAGCCTGAGCTATTATAAATTCTCTCTTTATATTTTTCAGATAGCTGCAGTTTGAGCTTCCCAGTAGTCCAGTACTTTCCAAAAAGTTTGAAAAGTGTCTTTGGCACCTTGCCTTTTTTAGTTTTTCCTGCTCCAAAAGAAGCAGGATCAGTTCCTGTTTGGGCACGGTCACCTGGAAACAGAGTTTCTCCACCTGTCCCTGCGAAGCCACGGAGAGCACAGAGCGTGGGTGCCCCCAGCTCCACGGCCATGGAGCAGGGCCAGGGCAGCTCAGTGGGATCTGAATTAAAGTGACATTTTTCAGGTTCAAACAGCCAAGGTGTAAGTGCTCGTTTGTGTTCCCAGTTGCTCCAGGCAGAGTGTGCAGGAGGGCTGCAGGGCAGGACACCTGCAGAACCTGCACAGGGTGGGTGTGCCAGGGTTGGTCCCCCGTGGGCGATCTGGGCAGGACCCTCCCCTGTGCAGGGCACTTCACTCCTCATGTTCTGCCACTGATAACCCAGAAAGCCTCAGACAGCCCTTCTGAATTGTCAGGCATTGTTCTGGCTGGCTGCGTGCCAGGGATGTGAATGAAGCACATCCAGGAACATCCCTGCCTGGGAGTGGACCCTGCACTCCAGCACGCCTTCAGTGATTAAATGTTCTTCAGACATTCATATCACCTCTCCCAGCTAAGCTCCCTCCCCTTGAGGTGTCCCCGAAACCGTGGCTGCTGGAAGCTGTCCCTGACTGAGAGGGGAATTCAGGGTGCTGCAGGAAAGAGCCAGCAGCGTTTGTGCTGGTGAGATAAGGGCAGTTAGTCTGCCGAGGCAGGAGGCAGGCCTGCAAACCCTGTCATGCCTCGGTTTGGCCCCTGGGTCCCAGCTGCCAGCTGGGGACACCTCGGCAGACGTGGGTGCCCCTCCTGCTGCCAGTGTGCAGAGCTCCAGGTCCTCAGCCCTTCGCCTGCTCCGTGTCCTGGCTGCAGTGCCCAGGGGCAGCTGGTGACATCTGCCCGGTGCCAGGGACCTCCAGTGCCCCAGCTCCCGTCTCCTCAGGAGTGTGGGTGCCGCTGCTCTGCCCCAGGTGCGTCCCCAGGGGACCAGAGTGGCCAGAGAAACGAGCTCCTCCAGGGGAAGGGTCAGGCTGGAGGATGCTCCCAGGAGCTGCCATCTGGTGCAGCTGCAAGGGGCAGATTGCAGCTGGCAGCTGAGCCCCAGAGCCAGTGAGGAAAGGCTGCAGCTACCTCTGCATCCTGGTAACCCCTTGTGTATTTGTTCTGTTACTACAGCTTCAGCACCAGAGACTCCCTTGTGCCTGGCTGGGACTCAATGCACAGAGGCTTTACTAAAGCACTTTCCTCCCTGGGGCTGCTGGGCCTGTGCAAAACCACTGCTCTCCCCCAAAACACTGGGGAGGGACAGGTCACACACTACTGCTCACCTCCACAGGAGCGCTTGTGCTGTCTGGAGTGCTGTTTTTAATTAGACTTTAGTAGTTTGGGCAGAAAAAATAGACTGAGGGGAATAAGACAGGGGAGAAAAGAGAAAAACATAATTAAAACAACAGTAAACCTAGAATATTTATAGAAATAGTTTTACTGTGCTGCAAAAAGAATCTGCTTATGAAGTTATGGTCAGTTAAGTCAGAGTATCCTTAAATTAAAGTTCTGCCTTGTGCTGAACAGCCAGGGAACATTGAAAGTGCACATTCATTATTCATGTGTTCTCATCAGTCAGTCAAAGCTTCTGAAGTCAAGCTGAATATTAAGATCATATCAAAAATTACTCTTATTACTGGTAAGAGAGTCACAAAGCATAATATCTGTGTTTGGGCATTATGCCACCCCAGCAAGCATTCTACTTTCTGCCTCACATTCATTTGCTTTAATTCCCTTTCAAAAACTGTGTGCACTGGTCATAATGTTAGTGGTGCTCATTCAGACTGCAGTGTGGAGCTTTGAACTGAAAAGCATTACAGGATGTTTCAGAGCGGGTATAATGCCCAGCTGATGTGCAGCAGGTGCATGGAGGGCACTTGTGCATGGAGGGCACTTGTGCATGGAGGGCAGGAGCCTTGCAGGGTGCCCAGCGTGTGAGCAGGGCACTCCTGCAGAGCCTCAGCTCAGCCACAGCTCAGCTCTGGAGCCCCACTGAGCGCCCACAAGGGGGACGAGGAAAGCAGTTCTGCCTTTGGATAAAATGGAGTTTTATTTCCATTTCTGCTGTGTCACTCATCATTAACAGTGTTAATAAATTGTACATGTTAAATTAAAAAGTAAATAATTTATTAAAAATAGGAAGGTCAGTATATGTTTTTCATCTTGGAAGCAGAAATAGAAGGTTGTGAGATCAGTCTGGTGGATGGCATTTTGCTGTGTAACAGAAAGAGAATTGCCAACTTGATGATACTTAAAAATGATGCCAGAATGATCCTAAAAACACCTTCCTGCTCCTGGCTGTGGTTGCAGGGCAGAGCTGCCCAGGTGTGTGTGTGCAGGGAGTTGGGGCTGTGAGCCCAGGCACCAGCAGCTTGCAATACATCCTACAACGTGGAGCAAAAGGCTGAGCAGGGGCTGTGGGGTGTCACCAGGAGCTGCACAGGGCACTGTGACCATCCAGCCACTGCCCTGGGCCGTGTGTGGGGCACAGGCGGGGGCACTGCCCCTCCTCTGGCAGCCCCAGGGCTCGGGGGCAGCCAAAACCCTGCCTGCCCACTCACTGAACATCCCCGGACATTCCCTGGGGATGGGAGAGGAGAGGAGAGGAGAGGAGAGGAGAGGAGAGGAGAGGAGAGGAGAGGAGAGGAGAGGAGAGGAGAGGAGAGGAGAGGAGAGGAGAGGAGAGGAGAGGGGAGGAGAGGAGAGGAGAGGAGAGGAGAGGAGAGGAGAGAGGAGAGGAGAGGAGAGGAGAGGAGAGGAGAGGAGAGGAGAGGAGAGAGAGGAGAGGAGAGGAGAGGAGAGGAGAGGAGAGGGAGGAGAGGAGAGGAGAGGAGAGGAGAGGAGAGGCTCTGTCACCTCCCAGTGTCCATCTGCCTGGACGGCTCCAGCAGGGACAGCAGGGCCAGGTCCCTGACTGAGGACTGCAGGCAGCAGGCAGGGTGAGTTTGAAGCATCTCTTTTGATCTGAGAAGAGCAGGGAAAGGGCCGTGACAAGGCCTGTGTCAAAAGGCAGAAAGGTTTCAGGAGCTGTGAGCTGGAGCTGAGGAAGGCCAGCAGGGTCCCAGCACAGCCCTGTGTGCTGCCCTGTCCCCGAGGCCTCGTTCTGACGGATCACTGTGCTATTGTATGGTTTGATTGTGCTGACCGTTACATGCCACTGTGCCCGTAATAACAATTTTTCTTCTTTGTTCAATGAAATTTCTAATTACACGTGTGATGGGTTGTTTTAATTCTTTTCCCTTTCCAAATCCACCTTCCTGTTGCAATGCATGATGAGCAGGCTCAATATTGTGCATGACACCCGCTACAAGTGTTGGTAGGTGCCAGCTTTGTTTCTTGATTATCTTAAACCTGTGGTGCAGCTCACAGACCCTCAAAATCCACTGCTAGATTTAACGTACAGCCCTCGTGCCAGTCCATCTCCCCGAGCCTCCTGCACTAACACCTGTCAATTAAATGTGATTGTTTTATTTAATTGACACGGAGACGTAGATGTTAATTTTGTACAGCAGTTTTTAATTGCACTTTGTTCCTTGGTGGATTTTGACTGGACTATGAGTTCCAGTGTTTAGAAAGTATCTTGTGTTAACTAAAGACTGTATCTTACCATAGCCGTGTAGCTGTATTCTGTCCTTCTACAAGATTAATTTCTGCTAGCAGTAAATATTTGGGTTGAATTTTTAAAAGACAAAAATTTGTAAATATAAGGGCATTGAAAAAACTCTCCTGTTGTTTTTCATATTGAAACGGTTAAGCTTGTTTGTGTCGATTTTCTTGATTTGATGGTAACAAGCGTTTTCCCCTTTTTTTTCTCTTTCATCTCCCTCCCCCCGTCCCGGAATGTTGTCCTGCTTTGCACTGTGGTTGCATGTCACGCGCTGGCCATGGTGTCTCGGGCTTCTCGCTGTGGTAAACCATGCTCAATGGCCCTGCCACGTGTCGCTCTGGTCCCATACTGCTCCACTCTTCTGTACGTTTGCTTATTTGATTTTCCTTCCGAAAGTTCCCATGGTGCACGGTGCTACGCCAGCCACTGTGTCTGCAGCAACAACATCTGCCACAAGTGTTCCCTTCGCTGCAACAGCCACAGCCAACCAGGTTTGCTAATTTACAGCTTTGTTCCTTACAGACGACTCGAGATCGGTGCTTAATGAGCATGGGGGTTTGGATCTGACCTCTTGTTGGCCTACACATTCTCTCAGAGAGCTGCAGCACAGCTTAATCAGCCCTTAGCTGTGCTCCAAAGGTGCTGCAGTTCCATTTCTGATGCTAAAAATAATTGACAATAGGGTTTCTGACTCAGTCTTGACATTTATGGGCCACGCTGCTTATTTCTGCTCTCAGGGATGCAAAGAGCAAGGGATAATACACAAACCCATGATTTATTTCCATTTCTGTGGAGCCAACAGCTCCTTTCAGCTCAGAACTCAGGGAAAGCCAGAGGAGTCTTTGTGCAGAGGGGTTGCAGGTTCTTCCAGTCTGAGTTTAGCAGTCCAAACATGTTCTGACTCTCCTCTTCCAAGCGTAAAACAAAACACTGTGAGCATGGGCCACACAGAAACTTCCTTGAAGCCTTTGTTGCAGCCTTGTGATTCTCCTTGGCGTGGCCCATTGCTTTGAACAGAGCTCAGATAAGAAAATGCCCATTAGAGTCTGGGTTTATTTCTCAATAGCCACCCCAGTCATTGCCATGTTTGGATGTATTTCAGGAATATGAGAGTAATGCTTTGCCACGTAAGTGATTAGAAGTCCTCCCAGGAAAGCCAGAACCAGTGCTGTACAGATGAGTCCCTGGGCCAGAGGAGTGGCTGGAGCTGCACCTGAGCACAGGATGCTGTCAGAAAAGCAGATTTCTGTACAACGCCTGGCTGAAAGTGCAACAATAAAAACGTTTTAAATAGTTCTCCTGTTCCTCTTCTAAAAGCTAATTATTTTTTGAGGTTTTCTGGGCAGTTAGTTGTCCATGCCATGAAGCTGTCAGTTCTGGTCTGATATGCAGGTCTTGCTTCCAGCGCAGTGGGATCACATGTGTGCCCCTTAGAAAGGGAGCTCCAGGTTCTCCTCAGCGTTGTGCAGCTCTGCTGCTGTGCAGGTAAATGCCAGTGTTCAGGCAGGCTTACCTGAGGCACTCGGCTCCTGCCTCAGGACACCAGAGCTGCAGAGTGAGCCCCAGGGCCTTTGGCTTCAGCCTTTACCATTTTGTGCTGCCCCAGCTGTACATCCCTCGTTAACCTGTCTGCTTCCTCATCTCTCAAAAATACAATTCCCAAATGGCGTCATTGCAGTGACACCTAGGCGTGCACATCCCGAGCTCCAAAGGGACCTGGATATTGTAGGATTCCAAAACCAGCCCAGGTTAGTCTGCTCAGCAGCTAGCACTTTCTTCTCTTGAGAAATGTTTGCTGAATGAACAGCTCACTCAGGCCTTTAAACTTGCCTAAGAATTTGTGTTTTGAAAAGCTAGTTCACACGTGGGGCTACCTCTGCATATGTGCCACCTCAGCAAACAACCTCCTGTGTGCCCAAAGTCTCTTAATATTGTAGTTTATTGCACCAGACAGTTACTTCCAGTGTGTCTCTGTATCCTGTGCATGTCCTGGGGGTTTTGAGAGCAAGACAAGCCACAGAAAAAGTCATTATTTTAAAATCCTCTCTCTGTGAGTAGCCATGCACTTCCTAGGGAGATCACAGGGAAAACCTCCTGCTGTAGAATCTGGTCATTTCATGCCTTTCCTCCCCAGAGCCTCATAACACACTTAGTGCAGTTCTGCAGCCAAACCTCCATATATACATATATGCCCATATATGTATATGCCATGTGAGCAATGCTGAAGGTATTTAATGCCACCCAATGCCGTGTGCCTGCATGCCAAAGGCTAAAGATGTGGCCCTCCATCTTCCCGGGCTGGTGCGGAAGGTCCTTGGTCTGTTCGACAGCACTGCCCCTGATGCTGCTCCAGCCGGGTGCCGCAGCCTGTCCTGCAGCAGCAGGAAAACATGGTATGAGAAGCTTCATTCTGCTCCAAGCCCCTTTCTGTGCAGTTGGCAGTGCTGGGATGTGCGAGCTGCCAGGGGAGGAGAGGGCAGTGGGTGGAAGAGCAGCAGCAGGTCCTGCCAGGGAGTTAGTTGAGAAGAATCCCCCGTTCTCTTTCCTGGGCAGATTCACAGCCCATCCCTGGTGCCCGTCAGGACAGAGGGTCTTTCCAAGCACCACGGCCATTTGGGATTGTGCAAATCCGTGTTGTGTCCTGCCCAGCACAGTTCCCTGCGCTGGGCACATCTGCTGCCCGGGCGCTGCGGGGTTGGGGTGCCGCTGTGACCCACGGCCAGGGCACGGCGTCACCCGCTAGTGGCACTGCTGGCAGCTGGCTCCAGCGTAACCTGGGGTGTTAGAGGGCACCTGAGCAGATGGGCACTTGTGGGGTGCTCGGGGCTGTTTGTGCAGCCAGGCTCTCTGGGGGCTGTCCCCGCTCTGGAGGCTTCGCTTGCCGGCGGCTCCGCGCGGTGCCGCGGGAAGGACAGAGCTCTTCTGAGCCCCACATTTCCACCAGCCGTGGAAATCCAGCTCAGGGATCGTAGGTTTGCCATTCAAAACCCAGGACAGTGACAGTGACAGCAGTGAACACTTCACAAAATCACACTGAAACGAGGCCACTGTAGAATTCACCGTCTGAGACACTGAAAGCACAGAATTTTGTGTAGGCCAACAAAAAGGGCTATTTTCAATTACTGCACTGCATGACTTGTAGATGTTAACTTCTCCTATTTCCTGAACAACCAGTAATACTTATTTGTATTTGTCCAGTAGTATTAACCCAGTGTTTTCCAGTTATAAGTTGCTATTGTAGCACTTTGGTTGACTTTAACTTATAGCTACAATATAAATCCACCAACTCACAGCTGATCCTCCCTTTCCTAAACTGATGTTCTGTAGCAAATGCTGTGCCTCTGGGTGGGCTCGTTGCACCTGTCACTCACTGTTTACATTTCTTACCTGTAGATACCCATAATATCTGCCGAACATCTGACTAGCCACAAGTATGTTACACAGATGTAGACATTTGGTCATCAAACAGTAAGTTCCCAATGTGTTGTTGCTGTATTTTTTCTTACCCTTATGTGTGCAGGTTATTGCTGTAAGGGACAGAATGTTTTTGTCTTCTTTCTAAGAAAAACAGTAAGCTCTGGGGGCAGAGGCTCTGCCCCCCCTGAGGGACCATTCCTCTTCAAGGGGAGATCCCAGATACCAGTGGCCACATCATGTGTTAGTTTGTACATGCCCACCCAGCAAAATCAGGGTTCACAGAGGTTTATGTTCACTCTGTGGTGGCCTCAGCACTGACCTGAGCTGAGGGGTAGCCCTGGCGGGAAGGTGATTCCATCAGGTTCTCTTCAGAAAGAATGGCTTTTAAATCTCAAAATTCGGAACCCCAGCATTCCCTGGGTTTGGAAACTCGTAATTCTCCTGTTGTTGTGAGATTCCCCTTGATGGCTCCTCGTTTGTGTTACCTTCCTCTCTCCTGTGCTCCATTTCTGCCGTGTTTTTACTGAATTCCTTGGCCATAATGGAATTATTTCTGAGGGTGAGGATTGACCCTTTGGCCACAGTGGGTTGGTAATCACGGCTGCTCCTTTCAGCTGAGCATAACCATCGTTGAACTGCTGGAGTGATGCAGGGAGGGCGGCTGGCATGGGATGGGGTGGAGGGAATGCCTCCAGGGGGATGGGGTGGGATGGGATGGGATGGGATGGGATGGGATGGGATGGGATGGGATGGGATGGGATGGGATGGGATGGGATGGGATGGGATGGGATGGGATGGGATGGGATGGGATGGGAGGGCTCCTGCAGGGACACAGCCTCGGGTGTAAAGCTGGGGCTGCTGTGTGTGACACCGAGTCCTGGTTGTGCCGAGAACACTCTGTGCTCTTCCCTCCCCAGATGGTATCCGCGGCGAAGAGGCCGGATTTGGGTGGGAAGAGGCCGAGCTCATTAGCCATAAAGTTTGTAAATACTGTCCAGCAGCACTGGGAACCCTCAGCAGAGACATCACACATTGCATGTTAACGAGACGGAGCGAGGCCGTGGGACTCCACTGCACACCGTTGCCTATCTATTTGTACATTGAGTTGGTATTTGTGCTGAGGTGATCGTGCTGTCCGGGCCGCAGCACCGTCCGCCTTTCCCGCGCGCTGCCCGCGGCTCCGGGGCCGCTCCCGGCCTCGCGCCCGCCCGAAAGGCCGACGGTGCTGCGCCCAGAATCTATTATGTATTGGTACGTCTGTAGACCAAGATATAATTTTTTAAAGTAAGTTTATTTCTTTCAAGGTTTACAAATGACAAAGGTGCACCTTGTATTTAAAATTGCCATTATAGACGAGAGCGTGCATGCACAGTAATTTTTGTTTAAGAGTAATATTTTTAATGTAATAGATTGTAAGAAATGAGAAGAGAGGAATCTGACAGAGATGAATGTGCCAAGCAAAACCACAACTGTGTATATTTTAAAGCACATCAATGGCTTTAAGTACCACGTTGTTAAGGATTCTCATGAAGTGCCATAGACTGTACATCCATCAGAGTATTATTTCTGCAGTGTTATTTTCAGAACCACGTTTTCACTGACTTGATGAGTACTGATCAGTCAAAGGGCACCGTTCTGTTTCAAACCAAAGCTGTCTCAGAAATGGCCAATTGCTCCTCACAGCCAGTGGGCAGCACCAGAGAGATGCTCCAGCTGTGCATAACCCTGAGGGACAACATTATCTGTAAACTCTCCCAAGGTGTGTATGTCATATTTATGCATAGTTCCTGTAAAAGGTGAGCTGCAAAGGGAAAAGCCATTTCTGAGACACAGTAACAAATGTTTGAGGAACTTCTTTTGCTCTATTTATCGCCTCTGTCAGGAGTCACAAGGACTATAAATGCTTTGCAGAGATGGGTTTCACTTTAATTCATCAAGTCCCGCGTCTGCGGCGACTCTAAACAAAGACGCAGAAGCACTGACAGCAGATGCATGACAAACCAAAATAGGACAAATGAGACGTTAGTGTAGAAATTGGGTGGGTTAATACTCGGGTGAGTTTTATATGTGATTTTTTTTTGTTCAGATTAACTGCTTATAGCCTTAGAAAGCCTTTACAAAATAAAAACAAACAAATAGATGTGCATTCAAGTTCTAAGAATGGATTCATCCAAAGGAATTCCTTTTTGTGGTTTGGATGTTGCAGCCAGTAAAGGATATTTTTGCTCTGTTCAGCCAGGGGCTGCCTGGGGCCAGGCCCCAGGTGGGCAGGGAGGGAGAGGCGCGGGTTCGGTTGTAGAACTCGCCATACTCCGAGTTTACTGCGAGTTTTTATGCTTGAGAGAGATGCTTTATAGATAAGAATGATGTGATGATTTTCCTGATTGTACTGTACATCTATTAAAGCCTTAGATTATTACATTACGGGTTAAAACCCATACCAATGTAATTTCAATCGTGTTAAGAAAGTATAGGTGACTTCACATGTTATTGTAGTGACTTACCATAGAGAATTTACTTATTTTTTTCTTGTTAAAAGTGTAGTTTTCTTACATTTATTAGCTCGTTTTTGTTTTCTATTATCAGTTGATACCATTTCAGTTCATAGAATTTTGTTTTATTAGAGTTTACTGATGGCTTTTTCAAAATACAAAAAAAAAAAAAAAAATGTAGTTTTCTTCATAACATACTCAGTTTGGAATCTATATGTAGTGTCTTATGAGTATTCGTATTATTGTTAACGAAATTATTTCTATTTTACTGATCTAATACGACAATGTAAGAATGTCAGTCATTGTTAGTTCTTGTCTAGTTTTCATTCAAAGAACAAAGATCTTTTATATGGATATCTTATAATTATATAATCATTGCTAAGTAAGAAGTTAAGTTGTTGCTATGGCAACAATCCTGGCAGACAATTGAGTAATATTTTGATGATTTATTTTGTTTGTAATTAGTTATTATGAGAAAAAAAATCTAGTTCCTAGATATTAGAATAAAATTTATTTTCTACTGTATCCATTTCAAATGTTAAAATATTGTTTAAATATTTTTTGAAATCCCTGAATATCAGGCCTTGTTATAAATAAGCTGCATAATCAATAGATCAAGGGACTTTTTGTTGATAATCCAAATACTCAAAGTTTACGTAACAAGAATCCTAGTGTGTGTGTGCAAACTCTTGAGGGTTGATTATGCTGCAGTTGGGACGTCGAGAGCGAAGGTTGACTTTTTGCACTTCTGTATATAGTCAAAAAAGAGAGAAACCTGTATAATAGTAAGATCTTATTTTGAATAAAAATGTCTATAATTACAAGGAGTTTTGTTAAGGCTAAATAAAATGACAGGCTGAACAAAATTGCTTGCAAAAGTGGCACAGAGTTAGCACTCCATCCCCCTTCCAAAAAGTTGCTTTGCTTTATGTGGACAGCTTGTAGTTTGCCAGGATTTTTTCAGCTGGAAAGATCTGCCATCCTTCTGAGATCTCATGACTGACAGAAGCTCCACTGGGTCAAATCTGCCTGAAAATCATTAAGAAACAAAAAAAAGGAGAAAAAAAAAAAAGAAAAAAAAAAGAAAAAAAAAAAAGCAGGTACTTCAGCCCATCCAGGGAATCATGGCTCAGATATTCCGTACATTATTCAAAATCTACTGCATGTTTAAAGTATCAAAATATATTAAAGATATATGCTATTCAAACCAGTTTCTGACAATTTCAGTGGTTTCTTGTTCACAAAAAAGATTCTTCAAAACAAATACTGACATTCACAGAGTTCAACCACGACAGGCAAACGGAACAGCACCCGTAGCTGTAGGTAGGGGATTCTTTTCTCGCTGTAGTGGTTTTGTTCTTTTAGCAGGTGAGAACCGCCTGGGACACGTTCCCTGGGCAGGAAGCGCTGCAGGAACCCAAAGCTGGGAGCAGGCTGGGGCTGGGCTCGCAGCAATCATAATTAATTAATTAACGAGCCGCTCTCAGCCCCCGGGCCATCTGCTGGAAGGACGGGCGCGCTTGGGTTTGCTCTTACGTAACCACAGACTTACTTTGCTTGTAGTTGCTCCAGTTACGTACTCTGTCCTGGGCTGCAATTTGGGTTTATGCTTATTTTATTATTACTGCTATAGTTGACCTTGCTGTATGGAAAAAATAAAGTGAAATTGCCCTAATAAAAGTTCTCTTTCTTAATTATCCTTTTCTCTACCAGGTTAAAAGTGGCTCCATTGCGTTATGTAGGCTTGGACGTGTCTGAGCACCTGTGGGACTGCCCACAATTTATTTGGTACTGGGGCTTTCTGCAGCCCCACGTTCCACCCACAGGACAGGTAGTGAAATACCACCTGTTGAGGATGTTCCTGTTAGTCCTGGGGGTAAATACAGAGCCCCCGGATCTTGGATCAGCCCCCGCTGTCCTCACCCTCCTGTGGCCACACCACTGAGTTCAGGGGCACACTGGGACCCCCGGCCCCGCCTGCAGGGAATGGGGGCACGGGAGATGGATCCGCAGGGAATTCACAGTGAGGGGAGTGAGGGCAGCATGGAACTGGGGGGAAAGGAATGGGGAGCAGAAACTGGAGGTGCAGGGATGGGGGGCACAGGGATGGGGGGCACAGGGAAGGGCGGTGAGGGAATGGGGCAGCAGGAGCGGGGTGCAGCCAGGCAGAGACTGACATTAGAGGGAGCTCTGTTGCCACGTGTTGCAGTTCCTCCCTCGGTTTCCCACAAATCACCGATAATCAAAATTTTTGATCAGAATATCACACCTTTAATTGATTACAAGAAGCACCTCCAGGCAGTTGTTTTCCGGAGGGATTCCAGGTGTCTCCTGTGACCCCCAGCACGAACTGGACTTTCCCATACGGGTCCATTGGCACCATTTCCCAGCCCAGCACACCTGGACACCCCATTCCTGCTGGCCGAGCGCCCAGTCCCTGCACTCCCTTTGTACTGTGCTCAGGATGGCACCAGCACATCATTTATCCCCACTCTGAGCTGCCAAGGCAGAAACAACGTGTCGAGCAGTGCCGGTTCAGAGGTGGCAAGAGGGGCCCAGCTGGATTTTCCTCTGGAGCTTGGAGAGCAGCTGTGGGGTTGGTCCTGCCCTGCGGGACCCCCGGGCCTGCGGGACCCCCGGGCCGGTCCGTCCTGCGCAGCTCCGGCTGGGGAGAGGATGGGGAGCAGCGACTCTGCCCATGGGCTGCCAGCGAGGAACGGGGCTCGGATGCTGAGCGAAGACAGAGAGGAGCTGCTGCCAAGGGAAGCTGCGGCTCTGGCACCTCGCTGCCCCTGGCTCCTCTCTGTCCTGCCACCCCTCTGGGATGAGGCCCCAGGGCCAGGACAATGACAACCCCGGGAGCAGCAATGACGACTGTATCAGCTGTGAAAAGCAAAATCATAAAACTTCATTCCAAGCATCTCCTGTGTCTGCAGCTGGGAGACTTTTCTGAACTGGGGGAGGGTTCTGGGCCTTCAGGGAGTGAGGAACAGGAACCTGGGGAGGAGTTTGAATCACCTCTGCTCCCTGGGCAGGAAACGGTTGCAGGAAGGAGGAAACAATAATTCTGAGGGTGTTTTTGCAGCCAGACATTATTTGTAATTTTTAAAAGAGCATATTTCCCGCCCAAACGGAGCCGATCACACCCCTCTCTGTGGTCCCAGCCCCGGAGCCCCGTGGCTGTGGAGGAGCTCTCTGGTCCCTTCCCTCCCATTCCCACGCTGTTCCAATGCCGGCCTTCGCCTCCATGCTCCTTTGCTGCCCGGTGCCCAATTTAACATTTAACACCCTGAGGGGTGCCGGCGGTGCTGCAGCCTCCCGGGGTCCTGCTGGGTGTTGGGGTAGCCTGAGAGTGTAAAGTCCGAGGAGCCAAAGGAGGAGTCTGAAATGTGCAGGGTCGGCTTCTCAAGGCTGTTCATTTCCCCTTATCTCAAACATTCTCTCTCTGCCCTGCTGAGCTCTGGCCAGCAGCTCGGCCATGGCATTCTGTCTGCCCTCAGGGCGGTGTTTGCATTTTATACCAAAAACTACCTGTGCCGTGTTTACAATAACGTGCCAATATCTGTCATTTATGTTGGGCAGTGTGTCTGTACCTTAAACCAACAGAAAAGTGTCACCAGCACAGCAAGGCATGGAGGGCAAGGAGAAGGAGAAGAAGGTCAGGACATGCCCCAAATCTCTCCATCTTGTACCCCTGAACCCCATTCTAAAAACCCCAAAATTCTACTTTTTTACCCTGTGTTAGTTCAAATATCACACAACTCAAACCCTTGTGGTTTGTAATTCCTCACACAGAGTTGGCAGGATTTCCCACAGGCTAAAATCAAAGCCACAGGTGTTTTTGACTTTGTGCCAAGGTCTCTGAGCCCCTGCCAGGGTCTGGGGGCAGCCAGGGCAGCCAGAGGGGTGTGCTGGGTTCCAGCAGCAGCCAGGCTGCTGCCAGGGAGACCCCAACACGTGGTGGCCAAGGGGTCTGGCCATGGGCACCGTGCCCGTGGCATCGGCAGCCGTAAGCAAAGGGGGGAATGTGCCCAGAGTGTCACTTACCAGCTCTGACAGCCGCTGCTGACTCCAGCTCCCAGTTCGTGCTTTCTGGTGCAAAAAGGAAAACGATGTGAACATATTGTTGCTGCATGAAACCCAGTTCTGAACATCTGTGCTGAAGTGAAAAATTCATCCTAAAATAGATGCACAGATAGAGAGGAAAGAGGAGCAGCTCACAGGAGAGAGCTGGAGGGAATTCACAAAATCCAACTTGCCCTATAAAACTTTTGGGGGGTCCCTGAGCCTCTAGCAACATTCCCTCTCAAGGGTCCCCCTGCCTGCCTGTATTGACCTCTCCCCGTAGCCGGTATCAGTCACTTTGTGTCTGTTCTCCAAAACGCCTCCATGCTGTTTGCAGGACGTGTGTCTCTGCTGTGAGATGCACACCCTGGTCTGGCTGCCCTTCCATGGGTTTATCCATGTCCCTTTCCTTGGAGGAGCCTCCTGGGGCTGGGTGTTGGCAAGCACAGACATTGGCCTGGCACCTTCTCCGGTGACCCGGCTGAGCCCCCGGCCGCAGCCGCCCGTGGCAGCCCCTTCCCGGTGTCACCGGGGCAGCCTGGGGCTGCGGGATGCTGCTGGCCGGGGCAGCTCTGGCCCCGGGCACCTGGCCAAACCCAGCCCAGCGCCCTGGCACTGGTTCGGGGCAGGGCTCAGGCCAGAGCCGAGCCCGGAGTGCCAATTCTCTGCCAGAGCGAGGGGCTGGTCCCCCCGGGGTCGTTCCCTGCTGCCTCTGGTACCCCCGTTCGGGTCTGCGCCCTCTGACTCACCAGCAGGTGCATTGAGCAATCCTCTCTTTCCCAAGCTGTTTTCTTGCTCAGGAATTCGGGCACCGCGTTGCTTCCAGGGCAGCAACAACGCAATCCAGCTGCGAGTTCCCACACGCGGCTCTGCCGCTCGGCAGATGCCGGCAGAACCCTCGTTTGGCTGGAAGGGAGACAGGGCCGTGCCCAGTGCCCGCTGCCGAGCCCCCGGCGCTGCCCTGGATGCCAACCCCGGGCTCCTGCACCCCGGGTCTCTCGCAGGGCGAGCGGGGCGGCTGTGCCGTGAGCCCCGCGAGTGGGGCTGTCGGGCAGCGCTGCCACGTCCCGTGGGGACGGCACAGGACGGACGGGATCAGGCAGGACGGGATGGGATGGGATGGGATGGGATGGGATGGGATGGGATGGGATGGGATGGGATGGGATGGGATGGGATGGGATGGGATGGGATGGGATGGGATGGGATGGGATGGGATGGGATGGGATGGGATGGGATGGGATGGGATGGGATGGGATGGGATGGGATGGCATAGGATGGGATGGGATGGGATGGGGCCGGCCCCGCGCCCTGGGATGCCCCAACATGCAGGTGCAAGGCAAGGACCCACGGGCAGCGCCCGGAGCTGGACATTGCCGGAGCCCTGCTCTGTGTCTGACGGGCCTGTCCCGTGTCACTCCACAGCCACCGCTGGAACTGGGCCTTTCCTCTTCCCGGATATTTCCTGGCATTCTGCACTCCTCCTGCAGGGCTCCCCGCCCGGGCAGTGCCCGCTGCCCGCTCTGCCCGTGGCTCTGCATCCCCCCGCCGGACACGCAGCAGGGAGGGGACATTCCTCCAACCCTTTCTCTTTGCTTCCCTCCTTTTTCTTTTTTTCTCCACAGTCCTGGGTGATAGTTTGTGATGCTGCACTTTGAAGGTTCCCACTCGTAACAGATGGGCAACATTTTCTTCAGCTTGGTTTGTAAATCCTTTCCCGATGCAGTGGGCATTAACGATCACACAAACCAAACTGCTGCTTTCCAAGGGGCACCAGCTCAGACCCCTGCAGGCCGGGAGAAGTCGGTGAGGGACCCGGCAGCCTGTCCGAGCGTGCTGTGACAGTACTCTGGGGCAAACAGAATTTTGTATTAATTTTTTAAACCCTCCCATCCTCCCCTTCTGAGCCAAAGCCTCATTCTGGGGAGAAATCTGTTAAACCCAGCGCATGATTTCTCTCAGTTTTCAATGGGAACAGGAAGAAACGTGTCAGCGGCTTCGTGTCTCTTCTTGCCTGGGGAACAGGTCCCGTGCCAAGCCGGGAATGCCTTTGGCAGAGCTGCTGCCGGCCGGGCGCTGCTCCCGGCTCCTCGGGCCGCTGCCGAGCGCCGGGGCCCGAGATCGTCCCCCGGGGCCGGAGCGGGGCCAGCCCCGCGGTTCGGGGGGCACGGGGAGCCCCATGGTTCGGGGGGCACGGAGAATCCCACGGTTCGGGGGGCACCGCGGTTCGGGGGCACGGGGAGCCCCATGGTTCGGGGGGCACGGAGAATCCCGCGGTTCGGGGGGCACCGCGGTTCGGGGGGCACGGGGAGCCCCGCGGTTCGGGGGGCACGGGGAGCCCCGCGGTTCGGGGGCAAGGAGAACCCCGCGGTTCGGGGGGCACCGCGGTTCGGGGGCACGGAGGGCACATGGAACCCCGCGGTTCGGGGGCACGTGGAGCCCCACGCGGGTTCCGCAGCGCCGGAGCTGAGTCAGCCGCGCTGTGCCGGTCCGGAGGAGGCTCAGCTGTCTCCTCGCCGGGCGTGGAGCGGCTCCAGCCTCCGTGCGCGGTGCCTTCCCAGCGCATCTGCCCCCGCTCCGAGCGGCGTGTGCCTCTGCCCAGCTCGGGGGTGCCGGGGCGCCTCGGTGGGGCTGACACTCCGCCTTCTCCCCAAAAGCAAGAAGAGAGGAGCATTGACACCATTAACACCATTAAGGGGTTTCTCGTGCCTCTTCTCCTCCCGGGCTGGACCGGGTGGTTCCGGTACAGAGGGCGCGGGAAGGGTGGGCTCTGCTCGCAGCCAGCCCCCGCTGTGCTCCGGGCAGAGCTCAGTGCTGGGGTGAGCTGCGGGGTCACTGCGGTCTGGTCCGACCCCCAGAGCCGCCGCGGTGCCGTTGGGAGCAGCCCTGGCACGGCACGGAGCCGGCGGGGCGCTCCCGCACGGTTCCCCGCACGGTGCCGGGCCCCGCGCCCGCCGGGACGGGCGGTGCTGACCCCGGAACGCCGGAGCCCCTCGTGGGCACCACCCGGCCACGGGCTGGTTCTGCCGGCAGGCTGCGTCCTTGTGTGTCTGTGCAGGGTAAAATAAAACAGAGATCAGAAAATGAACATCTACGTGCTCCCGAGCTCTGGGAGTGGATGGGGATCACCAGAGCACCGTACAATTCATTAAAAATATAATTCTGATGCTCTGTAATTAAAAACAATTGTTTTCAAATCACGTGGGGATTGGCTTTAATTAAATGTTCGTTGTCAGGCTGCCGCTGGGTTGCAGAGGAGCGAGGGGATCTGTCCTTGGGCTGGGGGCTCCCCTGGCCGGGCCAGCGGGGCTGCGGTTCGCAATTCGGGGGGAGAGCACAGCGGCTGTGCCCGCAGGCGGCTGAGGAGCTCAACATCCACAGCGGCTGTGCCCGCAGGCAGCTGAGCAACTCAACATCCACGGAACGCCAGAGCGGCCAAGCCCCGAGCAGAGCCCGGGGCGGGGTGGCAGGACCCGCTCTGACCGCGGGTGCCCACAGCTCCAGCCCCGACTGCCCCGCTGCTTTCCCCACCCAGGCTGAGTGCCAGCTTTACCATTATTTGTCACTAACGGGAGCAAATGCAATGAGAGAAGAAAAATCCTGTCACTCACTCTGCAAAACTGCATGGAACTGGAACTATTTTAAGAAAGGGGAGGGGGAAAGGGTAAACTTTCAAAGGTCTTTTAAAACCAAGGTTAAACGAGGAAAGACTTGGAGATGAGAATTAAAGGACTCAGATAAGCTTTGCTGAGGAGAGGTTTTCTTTCCCGTTAGTTTTGCTTATGGGTTTATGTCAGTTTTACGGAGCTGTACAGTATAATTTATCCAGTCTTTCCTATTTATGGGTACATTTCAGAGTAGAATGTTGCTAGCAGCTTGAAGCACTGCCATGCTCCAGCACTTTGGGTTTAACACTACTCGATGTGAAAAAAATTAATATTTCGACTCAAAATAGTGAATAGCAACTATGAATGTAAAAGCTTCGCAGCTCACTTCAAAACATGTCAGAGCTGCCCAGGACGAGGAATGCTGATGCTCGGCTTGCGGCAGCAGCTCTGACGGGTTCGCAGGGCAGAGCCCCAGGGACAGTCCGAGCCCTTCGTGGGGACAGCACCCCCAGGTGTGGCTGGCTCGGGGCTGGGCATTTCCAGCAGAGCCGGGCAAGCCCAGCCTCGCTGGCTCTGGGGCTCGGTGTCTCTCTAAACACCGGCTGGGCTGCCGTGGCTGCGAGCTGAGGAAGTGGCGATCTCGAAAACGCTGAGTGCCTTCCAGCAGGAGAGTTTCCTGGGAGCTGGCTCTGCCCAGACCGGACACAGCACTCATCTGCCAGCTCCCACCGAGAGCTGGCCCAGGCCTGGGCTCCTCAGTGCACCGGAGGAATCCGCACCAGACTCCAGTCGATTTAAAAAGTCGTTAATTATTAAGCAGGCCTGTGTCTGGGGGAAGTATGATAACTGAGTCCAGGAGATAGAGCTCCGCTTGCAAAGCTGTTTGTGTGGAACTGCTGTTTGTGCAGAGCCTGTGGTGGAGGGAAGGGAATTTATAAATAAAAGAGTTACAAAATGTCAACAAAGGCTTTGGCACGAATGGCCAAAAGTTCCGATAAAAAGGGAGCTACTAGGAATCACTTTTCTCAGGCCTTGAAAACCATTTGGGAACTTCCAGGAATGAAAGGATTGTTTGACCAGCCCATGAACCCCAGAGAGACCCCAGTGTCAGGGCTGGGGGTTCTGCAGGCTCTCAGCTCCCGAGGCAGCCCCCTGCCCATGGCCATCCCCACCCAGCCCACGTGTGGGGCAGGGCAGGAGCAGAGCCCTCACTCCCTGCAGGTGCCAGGCACCCCGGCTGAGGACGTGCAGCAGCAGCTCCTGCTCTTCCTCACTGGTGGCACCGAGCCCGGGGTGCTGGGCAGGGGCTGTGCTGCAGCTCCGAGCCCCCAGGGCAGCAGTGAGGTTCCCCTTGGAGCCCCCAGGGCAGCAGTGAGACCCCACCTCACCCAGGGAAGGCACAGGGCAGCCGGGACAGCCGTGCTGCAGAGGCTGGGCTGCGGGCAGGGAGAGGAGAAGCTGATTTCAGTGCCTGGGAGGTGGGACAGCCCCACCCCAGTGCCCCCATTCCCCGTGTCCCCCCTGCCTGATCTGCTCTGGGGGTCAGCACAGGCCCCTCTCAGCCATCCACTGGCATGGGGCTCAGGGGCCTGGCCCATGGCCCAGGAGCAGCTTCCAGAGGCAAAGTGAAAGGGCAGGGAGGGAGCTGGAGTGGACGGGCCCAGCAGCACCACCCCAGGCTCTGGTTGCTGTGCTGCACAGCCCGAGGCACGTCCTGCCCTCCCTGAGGGGATGGGCACCTGCGGAGGAGTGCAATCTTCTCCTTATTGTTTAGGTAATAAAGCCTATGTGCATACAGCCCAAACCAAACAGAGCACCACCCCTGACAGCTGGCATTGAACTCCTTCACCTGGGATGGCAGGGAGAGAGCAGGAGCAGAAAGGCTCTGGCTCTGCCCTACCAGCTTGGCTCCAGCCCAGGCTTCAGCCCGGCTCTGAGGGGGAAGTGGCTCCTCTGCAGCGAGCTGGCTGCGAATCTGAGCCAGATCCAGCTCCTGTGCAAACGAGCTGCAGCTTCCAGCTGTGTGCTGGCAGGACTGGCACCTCCAGGGAGATGGCTCGGGATCCTGGAGGGGACAGAGATGGGCTGAGCAGGCAGCTCAGCCTCCTGGCTCCTGTTCGGCCGCTGGTGGTGCCCCGGGGCACCTTCGGGTCCTGTCCCGGGTGCTCCTGTGGGGAGCGAGCTCCGGGGAGGCTCTCTCAGTATTTCATCTCTCAGTATTTCAGCAGAGCTGAGTCCTGGCATCGCATCCTGCCGCTCATCCCCAGCAGCAGCAGCAGCAGCACGGGCACTGCCACCCTGGCAGGAAACCCAGAGGATTTGGCTGCACACACCCTGAGGCAGCCAAGGAGCGTTTGAACGAGCTAACAATGCTGTTTCCTGATTTTCAAACCGAACTTGTGGGGATTGTTCCTCCTCTGATCCTTTGTGACTCTTTGTGACTCCTTTGTGACTCCTTTGTGACTCCTTTGTGACTCCTGGGGGCTGGAGAGG